ATCTATGGTTTGAATATTATTGAATACATTGAAAACACATTAATGTCAACAGGAAATCAAAACATTACAGGTTTTCCTACATTTCACGATATGACTATAAAGGGTAATATAGAATTGAATGGTTTAATTAATGGTATAGATGTAAGAGATGTTATTACTGTTCATAGTGATGAAAACATATTTGGTTTGAAGGTGTTTTCAGAGAGTGTTAGTTCTACATCCAATATCCACCTTACAAAATATATAAATGGAATAAACGTTTCTGATATTGTTCAAGATTCGTTTGATGCTACCGTAGAACAGTTGATTTTGGCAACTAAGATGTTTGATAACCCAGTTAGACTATTAGGAAACCTAATTGTGAATGGAACACTAGAAGGAATATATATTGATAGAGAGGTAGTTACACTAACCACTGAACAAACAATCGTAGGGTTAAAAAATTTCATAGATGTATTGCATGTAGAAGGGGATATTAACCTTGACGGTTTGGTAGGAGGCGCTGACATTTCTACATTGGCTAGAACACGAATTACTCTCAATGGCAGCCACATACTAACTGATTGTTATTTTGTTGATAAAGTTACCTTTCTAAAAGATATTTTGCTTGCAGATCGTATCGACGGCATTGCTATTGATCGTCTAGAAGATCTATACTTCAGTTTCTTCCTGAATGTCCAAGACGACATTGATGCATTGAATTTCGTTGCCAGTTCTCAGTGTGAAAGGATCGAACAGTTACAAGAGTCGTTTTCATTAGCAGTTGCTGAATTAGACTTTACTGAGGTAATACAATCATGGGATCAACCTGTTCGTATGTTTGAATCTTTCACAACTGATTCCGGACAACTATATTTATTGATGATAGTACACTCCGAAAATAGTGATGTGTGCTCCGATAGTTTCTTGTATCGTTGGAACACTACTGAGGCATCGTTTGACTTGTATGATTCATTTAAAACTAGTGGAGCTGTATCTGTCAATACTCTAATTACTGACGACAATACTGTACACATTGTAATTGCATCAACTGCACCTCAAGTATGTACGGAAAATGCTCACTTTTATATGCAGTTTGTGGGAGGAATACTTTCGCCATTAGATACCATCGTACCAATGCTTTCCACGGGTGAGTTTGATCTAAAGGCAACTGAAGATGGGCTTCTGGTCTTATTTACAGGAAATGAAGCAGAATCATCAACGTCGATCGAGGGCTTACCTAGAGGTGAAGACGTTCTTGTACTCATTCAAGATTTCCGGGATGTAATTGCAACGTCGGCTGAGTTTATTGACATTGATAATCAAACATTTATTGTTTTTGCTGAGCGCGACTCATCTACCTCTCGTATATATAATGCATTTTTAAATAACACATTATTTAATGTTACGGATCCATTTTCTTTCTTTCAAGAGATACCCACAGTTAATCCCCTGGATGTATGCGCATTTGAACATCAAGACTCCATTGGTTTTGCCATTGCAAACCACGGTGTGGTTCGTGATGGACATGCAGATTACAATGTTTACATATCAATTTATCATTGGTCATATACCACAAATGCGTTTGTACTTTCTGGTCTTATTTACAGGAAATGAAGCAGAATCATCAACGTCGATCGAGGGCTTACCTAGAGGTGAAGACGTTCTTGTACTCATTCAAGATTTCCGGGATGTAATTGCAACGTCGGCTGAGTTTATTGACATTGATAATCAAACATTTATTGTTTTTGCTGAGCGCGACTCATCTACCTCTCGTATATATAATGCATTTTTAAATAACACATTATTTAATGTTACGGATCCATTTTCTTTCTTTCAAGAGATACCCACAGTTAATCCCCTGGATGTATGCGCATTTGAACATCAAGACTCCATTGGTTTTGCCATCGCAAACCACGGTGTGGTTCGTGATGGACATGCAGATTACAATGTTTACATATCAATTTATCATTGGTCATATACCACAAATGCGTTTGTACTACATGATTCGATTCCCTTTTATCGAACAAGCGATATTGAAATATTTAGTGTTGGCCCATCTATGTACATGGCCGCAGTTAGTCAATATAGTCACGTAACAATATATAATTACGAAGGGACAAGTGGATTTCAGACTGTACTGCAATTAGATGTATCGGGTGTATACTCTTGTCACGTTAGTAACGCCCTAGATGGTACGATATTACTTGCTCTCGCTTCAGAACCTCAACGGGGATCTGCTGTAAGCTACATCCTAAAGGCAGTTTTTAATGGTAAAGCTATAGTACCTTCAGAACAATTGTGCGACATAGTTCTGCCAAGTTACCATAGTGAAAATATCCATAGCATAAATTAATATTATGAGATACATTTATTTATTATAATCATTGTCATATTTTGTATTTGAACGTAATATTTTGACATATACGTAGCTTTATAGTTTCATATTTCATAGGGTGATAGGGTGCTGAAAAGATATGTTAAACCGTTATATTACAATATACATAGTGGTTAGTCTTAAATTTAGTATATATAGTTGGTATATGTGTATATATATTATATATATATGTGTGTATATATATATGTTTATTTATTTGTATATGTATACATATGTATATTTATATATACATATGTATATGTATATATATATACATATGTATATATATATGTGTATATATATATGTGTGTGTGTATGTACGTGTGTATGTATGTATGTATATATATATACATATGTATATGTATGTGTATATATATATGTGTGTATATATACACATATGCATATGTATGTATATATATATACACATATGTATATGTGTGTATGTATGTATATATATACACATATGTATATGTATGTATGTATGTATATATATACACATATGTATATGTATGTATGTATGTATGTATGTATATGTATGTATGTATGTATATATATATACACATATATGTATGTATGTATGTATATATATATACACATATATGTATATGTATGTATGTATATATACATATGTATATGTATGTATATATATACATATGTATATGTATGTATATATATATATATATACATATGTATATGTATGTATATATATATACACGTATGTATGTATATGTATGTATATGTATATATATATGTATGTATGTATATGTATGTATATGTATATATATATATATATACACGTATGTATGTATATGTATATACATATGTATATGTATGTATATATATACACATATGTATATGTGTGTATGTATGTATATATATACACATATGTATATGTATGTATGTATGTATATATATATATACATATGTATATGTATGTATGTATGTATATATATACACATATATGTATATGTATGTATGTATATATACATATGTATATGTATGTATGTATATATATATATATACATATGTATATGTATGTATATATATATATACACGTATGTATGTATATGTATGTATATGTATATATATATATATACACGTATGTATGTATATGTATGTATATGTATATATATATACACGTATGTATATGTATGTATATGTATATATATATATATACACGTATGTATATGTATGTATATGTATATATATATATACACGTATGTATATGTATGTATATGTATGTATATATATATACACGTATGTATATGTATGTATATATATATACACATATATGTATGTATATATGTATATATATATATACATATATGTATGTATATGTGCGTATATATGTATATATAATGTATAGATCCTTATATATTTATATATACATAGCAGACTATAATATAATTCGTGTTCCACATTCGTTATGGTGTTCTCTGAAACAAGATTTGACTACTGTTCATATAGTAAATGACGTAATACACAATGAAATCGTACTCAATTTGTTTGTTTTGATTGGAATAAAGTGCAAC